AGGGAACGTGCCAGGGAACGCGCCACCGCGCGACGTGCCAAGGGATGTGCCAGGTGGACGCGCCAGTGGGCGCCCCAGAGCACGCGGGCGGCGCTGCCGCCTGCGCTGCGGTAGGGCTCGGGCGGACAACGTCGGGGGGCCCAAAATCGTGTGGCGACGGACCGCGCGTTGACCTCGGATCCCCATTGAAATCACCGCGCGGTCCGTCTCCATGCGCTTTTGGGACCCTGGATGCCACAGACGTCCGAAACGCCATCAAAAAACGACCCGGGTCCCGAAAGCGCGCGGCGACCCCGAACCCACATTGAATCACCAAGCGGTGTGGTCACCATACCGTTTCGGCACCTCCGAAAGCAAGTCGGGCGTCAGCCGCGCGAAGCGGGGGTCTGCACCGGAAAGCGGCTGCCCGGAAGCACTTCTCCGCCATCTCGCCCCTCTTCCGAATGAAAGCATAAAAAACGGCCCTCGCCCCCCGCATGAAGAACTTTTGACGACTTGGACCGTCAAACGACGCGCGAACTGCAAACGGGAGCAGCTCGACTGTCAGCCAACAGCAACGCCGCGCAATTCAACGCGCACGGCGCGTTGCTGCTATGCTCGTTGGCGTTTGATGAACTTGGCCTTGTTTTGTGCTGGCAAACTGTCAACGCTCAAATTCATTGTGGATGTTCGCGCGCTCGCGCCAAGGCAAAACCGGGGTGCGCGTCGGCTCTTTGCGGTGCTGGCAAGAGCCCAGGACGGCACCTGGGGACCCGCCCCGCACGGGCGCGCATCGAAAAGTTTAGGTCCACCCCAAAAGCAAAGTTTAGACACCGAGCGGAAAAATCAGACTAACTCTGGAAGGATACAGCGATCGAAAAGGTCCCGAAGCGAAAAGTCTCGCGCGGGAAGGCCCCAAACAGTCTATACATATCTATATATATATATATGTATATATATATGTATGTATGTATGTATGTATGTATGTATGTATGTATGTACATAAATAAACGCATACACGCACTAAAACATGTGTCTATGTAAACACCCAAAAAGCTTTGGATTTCGAGCAGGTGCCTCAAGAAAACGGTCCCCGATCTAAACTTTTCCGTCGGCGGGTTACGAGGGGGCGACGGGGGCGAGGGCGGGGCGGGGGCCCGCGGCTGGGCCAACGGCGCTGCCGTGCGAGGGACAGCGCCGCCGCCGCCTCAAACTGCATGCCGCGGCCGTGGCACGCGCGGCCCTGGGAATGCTGGCGCGGGCACAACCGCGTCGAGTGAGCCCAGCACGTCGCCGCGCGCGCAGGCCCCCCCTGTGGCACCTGGCAGTGGCCTCGCCGACAGGGCGCCTACACTTACGCACGTTCGCCATGAGTGCAGAACACTGACACGTGAACTCCATATTTGCAGGGGCTGGGGGCGGATTCCCACCGCTCACCGAACGGACCCCTCTGCCAAAGTGGGCTCGTCGCGGCGCCCCCGCCCGCCTGCCGGCGGGCCGTGGTCAGTTAGGCGCGAACTCATGGGGGGCAATAATTAAAAGGGGCGGGGGGGAGGTGCCCTCTTCGGGCCCCTTGGGGCTCTCGCTGTCCCACCGTTGGATGCCCCCGCTCTGATTCGCGCCAGAACCAGTCCTCGGGGCCGCGCTCCGCGCTGCCCGCGGACGCAGCCCCCAGCCGCCCCAGAGCAGCTTGGAGCAGCACCCGCGCACGAGCGGCGCGCGGTGCCGGGATTCCGCCGCTGCAGACGGCCAGCCCCTCGCGCCCCACCGAGCCGGGGCGGCAGAGAGCGAGCGCCCCCCCAGCGCAGACCGTTTCCAAGCGCGCTCTGCGTGCCCTCTCCCAGCCAGGGCGCGGGCGGAGGGTCGCGCAGCAGAGCGCCAAGACGGCCAACCCAGCTGCTGCCCGCGAGCGACGAGGTGCCACTCGACGGCCTGCAGCGTGGGGCCGCCCAGCGCGAACTCCTCCGGCAGGTCGAGGCCGCCCTGCCCTGCCCCTGGCAGGCAGCCTCCTGGTCGTCCTCGTTGGCTTCCTCCTTTCGTCTTCTTTTCGCACGCCCCCTCTCGCCGCCATGCTCCGACACTTCACCTGGCCCACGGCCCCCTCGCGCTGCGAATGCCGCTCCAAAACAGCGCCTCCTCCGACACGCGGATGGGCCGAAGGCGAAGAGAGGGAGCACAACGGCAAGGCTGGGCGGGAGGGCTCAGATGCGAGCGCACCCTCCTCACCTGGCTCCCTCTCACCCGCCCTTGTTCGGGGAGACGTAAGACTCATGTACGTGGGACTTGGGTTGGCCTGACCGGGCCATCATGAAAATGGCGAGGCCCAGTCGGAAATTTGGCGCGAGCTCCCGCTGCAAACATCCCAAGAAAATCGGACCGTCAGAATCCAGGACGCGCTCGTCGAAAAACGTCGGCAAACCCGAGTTTCGGCTTACTCAAGTCTCACGCTACCCCGCCCTTGTGTGGCGAGCTCGCACCAAGGGGCTTCCCTGCCTCTCTCTGTTCATAGCTTTAGGTCGGGCATGTCCCCCTACATGCGGATTTTGGGCGAAAAATCAGACATACCCCCCAAAAACTCAAACAATGGTCAAAAAATGATTGTCCCCAGACTATTTGTTTATTATTATTGAATATTCCTCCTGTAGAACAACATGCCCGCGCTCGGTCTTTCAACCCCCCCTTCCCCCGGGCAGTTGGCCGGGGCGGCGGGGCCGGACAGGTGGTGTACAGCCGTCAGACTGTGCCTGCACTGTTCTTTCACACTCGGACTTGTTCTCAATGAGTCGCACAGAGGTGCCCGACTTGACACCAGCATGCCGCCCCCGCCGTGTCTCGGGGAGGGGCGCCCACGCCGCTCGGCGGCCGAGCCGCCAGGGCCAAGGGCGTGGCCGCGCGCGGGCGCGCGCGGCGCACCGCCTCCTCAGAGGCCTTCGGCACCCTGCCGAGCAAAGGGTGCTGGGCCACGCGTCTGGGGGCCGCAGTGCTGAGTACCTACCAGACCACCCCAACCTAAACCGAAGACCCAAGTTTCGGGTTGGGGGGTATGGGTTCCATATATGTTTTGTCAATATTCCCCGACCACCCACACCACTGGAAATGGACGGTAAAGTTGGGCCTTCGGGTTAGGTTGGGGTGGTTTGGTAGGCGGTGAAGTGCAGGCTACGCCCAGCACAGGCACCAAATCGGGGCCACATGCGAACCCTGCCCCTACGCCCCACGATTTCTGAGGGGGGGGTGGGGTTCATTTCGCTCGAGAGCGAAGAGAACCCCACCCTTCCTCTCGGAAATCGTGGGGCGTAGGGGCAGGGTTCGCATGTGGCCCCCCTACCAGAGCAGCTGCTGCACATTCTCGCGAAGCTGCTGCTCACGTGCGTGCAGGCGCCGAGGCAGCCGCCAGGAACGTCCTTGCACAGCCTCCGTTCCCTCCTTGGTTGGAGGCCTAGAAATTGGCACCAACACCAACACAGGAGGGTTGCCTCAACAGGGGGAAGATGATCCTAGATTTCGGTGTTGGTGGCAATATTTCGGTCACCCTGGAAGCCAGAATATCACCACCATCACCGAGATCGGGATCTTCTTCCCTCGGTGGAGGCACACCGCCGATATTAGTGTTGGTGTCAACCTCTAGGCCTGCGACTGGGACCTTCGTCTGGCCCGGCAGTGCCGTGCCTGGCGCCGACGGATGCTCGGGCGCTGCGGCGTCGGCAGCAGCAGCGCACTCGGCCACGATCGAGGGCAGAAGGGCGGGAGGGCGGCCGTGACGTCGCGCAGGACCTGGTCGGCAGCATCGCGCTGCAGCCTCTGGACGCAGCACCTGCCCGTGGGAGGATCCACACGCAGAAGGAGAAGGCGTGCGACAGCCTGAGAGAGACGAGGGCCGACGCCGATGACGTCAGTGTTCGCCCAGCTGCTGCCACGATGTCTGTGGAGGCGTTGGCTCGAGAGCCGGCGGTCCTGGCGGAGGCGGTGCGGTGAGCTGCCAGCGAGGCTGAGCGGAGACGAATCGCCGCGGCTGCTCTGACGGAGCTGACGGCAGGGATCGATAGCTTTCTAGCGGAGCTCCTGGCTGAGCCTGGCAGAGGCTCACAGGACAAGCAAGGCAAACGTACTGTGTTACTGTGCCATTGCTTCTGTGAAAAGAAATGTGAACAGATTCCAAGGTCCATTCTGAACTTCCATTGATGGATATTGTGACTCTCTCAAACGTTGATGCTCTAAGCTCAATAAACATATCCTGGTGAAGAGGTCCTCTCGAATATCCGATTGGCCGGTCCTTGCTGCTTCCACTCGAGCGCTATTGTGCGGCGACTATGCCGGAGAGGTTTTTGCGATGCTCCCTTGTGGGCCTTCGAACATGTCCAGTGGACCATTGCACCGCACTTCGCACACCTCTGGCTTTCGCCAGTCCGTCCCTACCCCCGTGCTCTGTCCCTTCCCCGGCGCCAAACGGCAAGCTGCGGGCTCACGGCGGGGCGACCCCTCCCTTTGAGCGCCTGCGAGCGAGAAGAAGAACGGCGCTCGTTGCGTTGGCTCACGGGCTGTGAGTCATCCAGAGACAGAATTACGCCCGCCGAAGCCAGCCTCTCGTGCCCCTCCTCGTCCTCCCCTCTTCCTCTTCCTCTAATGTATCCTTTTCCGTTTCCTCATCCTCCTCCTCCTTATCCTCCTCCTCCTCCTCCTCATTATGTGCTGTTCACCTCATATCCTCGTGCTCCGACTCCCAATTCCCCCTCTTCGACCACCCAGAGCCCCGAAGAGCCCGAGATTCCTCAAGCCCTCCTCCCCCATCTTCCTCCTCGCTCTATCCTCCTCGCTCCCTCCTCCTCCCCCGTCTCTCCCTGATCCTCCTCCGAACCCTCCTCGCCATCCTCGCCCTCCTCCTCGTCCTCCTCAGAAGTCTCCTCCCCAGCATTCCCATCCTCGTCATCGTTCACCTCACGCATCCTCCTCCGCCTACGAGGACGGCGGCGGCGGCGGCGGCGGCGGAGAGGACGACGACGTCAACGACTGCTGGCGCCCGCCTGTGCTTTGACCTGGCCCTCGCGGCGGAACTCGCGCGATCCACGACCAGGCCGTTGAACAGGATGGATTCCGTCGGGAGGGGGGCCTCCAGGGCGCGCAAGCCCACAGGGTGCGTGTGACGAGCACGAATGGCGAGGGAGGAGGGAGGAGCACAGCCTCCCCCTCCGCCTCCGCCTCCTCGTCCTCCTCCGTCTCCCCCTACTCCGTCATCGCAATCATCATCATCATCATCATCATCATCATCATCATCATCATCATCATCATCATCATCATCATCATCATCAACATCAGCATCATCATCATCATCAGCATCCTCATCAGCACCATCAGCACCAGCATCAGCATCATCATCAGAGGCATCAGCATCAGCATCAGCATCAGCATCATCATCATCATCAGCATCAGCATCAGCGTCATCATCATCATCAGCATCATCACCATCATTATCAGCATCAACATTATCAGCACAATCATCATCATCATCAGCATTTTCATCTTCATCGTCATCAGCATCATCATCATCAACATAATCGGCAGCATCAGCATAAGCATCAACATCAGCATCAGCAGCATCGGCATTATCAGTATCAGCATCACCATCATCATCAGCACCATCATCAGCACCATCATCACCAGCAGCAGCATCATCATCATCAGTATCAGTATCATCATAATCGGCATCATCATCCTCATCATCATCATCAGCAGCGGCATCAGCATCAGCATCAGCATCAGCATCAGCATCAGCATAATCATCATCATCAGCATCAGCGTCATCATCATCAGCATCATCATCATCACTATCAGCATCAACGTTATCATCATCATCAGCATCATCAGCACCATCATCATCTTCATCATCAGCAGCATCATCATCATCATCAGCAGCAACAGCATCAGCATCAGCATCAGCATCATCGGCATTACCAGTATCATCATCACCATCATCACCACAAACAGCATCAGCATCATCATCATAACCAGCAGCATCATCATCACCAGCAGTATCAGGATCATCATCATCAGCAGCATCATCACCATCATCAGCATCATCAACAACATCATCATTGTCGTCATCATCATCGTCATCATCATGATCAGCATCAGAATCATCCTCATCATCATCATTATCATCGTCATCATGATCCGCACCACCACCATCCTCATCAACATCATCAGCATCAGCATCAGTATCATCATCAGTATCATCATCACCATCATCAACGTCATCGTCATCGTCGTCGTCTTCATCGTCATCATTCTGATCAGCATAATCATCAGTAGCATCATCATCAGTTTCATCTTATCTTCATCATCTGTATGATGAACATCATCGATCTAAGTATCATCATCATCAGCACCATCAGCACCATCAGCATCACCACAATCGTTAGCAGGCCATCATCATTCATGACCATCAGCATCATCATCATCACCATCATCATCATCATCATCCTCGTCATCAACATCATCATCATCGTCGTCATCAGCAGCAGCAGCAAGATGACAGCCGGTGTCGTTGTGGCCATCGTCGCCGTCTTCGACGGCGACACCATCAACATCGAAATCATCATGATCATCAACAGCAGCATCATCATCAGCGTCACCATCATCAGCATCATCATCCGCCTCGTAATCATCAGCATATTCGTCTTCGTCACAATCATCAGCATCATCATCAACATCCGCATCATGGTACCCGTCCTCGTCATCGTCCTCATCAGCATCATCATCAGCATAATCATCACCAGCATCTTCATCATCATCATCGCAATCGGCATCGTCATCGTAATCATCATCGCATCATCAACATTATAATGATCGTCATCATCGTCAGTCCCGTCATTGTCATCATCACCATCGCATCATCAACATTATCATGGTCGTCATCATCATCAGCCTCGTGGTCGAAATCATCACCATCAGCCGTAGCAGCAGAATGACCACCGTCGTCTGTGTGGTCGTCGTCGCCGTCGTCGACGGCGACATCATCAGCACCGCAGTCATTATCAGCATCATCATCAATATCATCATCAGCGTCACCATCATCATCATCAGCATCCTCGTCTTCATCCTCGTCCTCATCATCAACATCATCATCATCAACATCCGCGTCATGGCACTCGTCCTCGTCATCCTTCTCATCAGCATCGTCATGATCATCAGCATCGTCATCTTCATCTTCATCATCAGCATCATCACCAGCAGCATCATCACCAGCATAGAATATAAAAGACACCATCGGAGGCGGCGCCGAAACTCCCACGCTCCCGAATGCCGCTAGGAACGGGCATCACGATCATCATGATCCTTCATCTTCAGCATCGACATATTGTCTCCAGCAGCATCACCATCATCAGCATCATCATCATCATCATCATCATCATCATCATCGGCATCATCGACATCAGCATCAGTAGCATCCTCATCATAACCATCATGATAATGATTTCCATCCTCATCACAACAATCACCAACAGAATCAGCAGTATCGCCACCAGCATGATGAGCGGAAGGGGCATCATCACCATCATTATCATCATCATAATCATCATAGTATCATCATTATCATCATCATCAACATCATCAACTTCGCAACCATCGTTATGATCATCAACATCACCGTCATCATCCTCGTCAACATCGTCACCACCACCATCATCATGAGCATCACCATCATGATCATGATCCTCGTCAGCAACAACAATATAGACCAACCACATCAGCATCGTCCGCGTCATGTTCACCATCATCAGCACCAGCATCATCGACACTGTATTATTCCACTCAGTATGATCAAACTCATCATCACCTTCACCATCATCGTTATCATCTTCGTCAGCAGGATCATCGTCAGCAGCGGTATCATCATCATCAGCAGCATCAGCATCAGCATCAGCATCAGCATCAGCATCATCACAAGCATTAGCATCTTCATCGTCATCGGCAATCTTATCATAATCACCATCATAATCGCCATCATCATTACGACCGTTCCTGTCAACCTGGGGGGGGCACACACGGGAAGCGGGGTAATCAGAGCGCACGAAGGTGGCTCTGAAATGGTCCTAACTGCAAGCCTGTCCACTATGTGATAGGGGAAAATGCATGCGCCGACGCCCGCGTCAATCCTGCCCCCGTCCGAGGAAGAGGTGGCCACCCACTAGTCGTTTGCCACGGGGGGGGGGAGGGGGGGAGAGGAATTCTTTGTTCCTCCCTCACCGTCTCCTGCTCTTTGCTCCTCCATTCCTTTTCCTGATGAATATTACTCCTCCCTGTCGCACCCCGCGGCCAGTCGAAAAGGCGGGCCGGGCGTTACGCCTGGGACTTCCTCACCATGTATGAGCCTGAAGCTTTACACAGTGACAACAGTTTCACAGATGGGGGGCGGGTGGTTTTCAAAATGTGGCTCTGGCCTAAAAGCGCCAAGCATCTTCGCTCTTACATTTGCAAGAGTTTAACGGGTTGAGGGCGGGTTGTTTTCAATATGTGGCTCAGGCCTTAGCGCCGCGCACATTCGCTTTGACTAATTGAAAGTGTTTCACGGATGAGGGCAGGCTGTTTTCAAAATGTGGCTCTCGCCTTAGCGCCGCGCACGTTCGTTTCACAGATTGCAAAAGTTCCACTGATTGATAGCAGGTCGTTCTCAGAATGTGGCTCTCGCCCTAGCACGGCGCACATTCGTTTCTTTGACAACAAAAGCTTCACGGATTGAGGGCGGGTCATGTTCAAAATGTGGCTCTCGCCGTAGGGCAGCGCACATTCGTTTCAACAAATTGCAAGAAATTCTCGAGTTGAGGGTGGTTCCTTTTCTAAATGTGGCTCTCGCCTCAGCGCCGCGTACATCCGTTTTAATTATCCTGGCGAAGGGCTCAGCCATCTGCAGTTGTGAGTCCGCAGTGGTGCTTCTCCACTTCGGTGGAACTCCCAATGGGGCCACGAAGCGTGTGAGGGGTGTGCCGAAATGGGAGGCGGGGACGCATGTAGTCACAGCCACTAGGTCCTTTAGTGGCGCTTCCCAATTAAGGGGCCACGAAGCGTATGATCAGAATCCCGAAACGGCGCATGCGGACCCTGCCCAAGGGCATTCAGTTGAGCTCCCCATGGGGCTACGAAGCGTGAAGGTATGCTGAAATGCGCGGGGTGCTGCCACTAGATGTGGCAAAAGATGTGATGGCGCGACGCGGCGTGGCACACGTTATACGCGCCCTCATCGTAGCTTGGTTCTGCCAGTGGACGTCATGGCATGTTCAGCGTATGGTTGGAGCAGCTGTAGCATGCCATAAAGATGGTCCCAAGAGTTTGCCCTACTACTAGCACTTTGGCATACCCCTCCTGTAGAAGGACCTGCCCGACTTCATCGTGGTCGTCCTCGCCGTCGTCTTCGTGTCGGCCGGCCCGCCCGTCGGCGGCCCGCCTTGTAGACCACCCGCTCCGCGGGGTACAGGCCCTGCCGCAGGTACTGCACGGCCGACGGGTCCCTCTCGGTGCCCGGCGGAGTCTGCAGCCTCAGCGCCTCGGCCTCCTGCAGTGACATGAAATGAAAGAAGAAAGAAAGCAAGAAGAGCAAAAACATAAACTCGCCATCGCTCGGACGTCCATTCCCTGTGTCTTTTTCGATTTCGTGCGTGTTTTTTTCCCCAAATGATCAAGGATGCTCCTCAATTGCCCTCGCCGGAGGAAACATGCGCACGTCCGAGCGATGCCAAGTAAACAACGAACGGCATGAGCATGAGCCACTGGCGTTCCGCGCGGGCGCGGATTCCTGGGGTCCGTGCCGGACCCCCCTCCCTGGCGCGTGGAGCGCCCCAGGGTCTTACTGCAGGTCCGTGCCGTGTCGACCCTGGCGTTGGTTCCTGACACCGCGCTGGATCGTTCAACCTTGAAGGATCGGCCGGCTCCGCAACGTCCGATCGTTCAACATCGACCGATTCTGGGCCGCCGTCGGAGTTCAACGTTGAACGTCGGCGGCGGGGTCGCCGCCGTTTATCTGGGTAGTCGAAGCCAATGTGGCGCCAATCTGGCAGGCCCAATCTGGCAAACGGGGGCAATCTGGCGAGGGAGCCAACGCGAATCCAGTCTGGCGAATCACCCAAATCGTCAAGCTTGGCCGGGCCAGATTGGCCCTTGGGGCCCAATCCAATCTGACAGTCTGGCCTTCGACTACCCAGTTTATGCAGTGTTCCCCTCTTCGAGAGAAGGGGGGGGCGGCAACGGGAGGCACCGGGCGGCGAGCGGTGCTGCCACCCCCCCCGCACCTTTCACCGGCCCCCGCACCCCTCACAGGCCACCTCCTCGGCCCACGGCGGGCCCCGCGTCGCCTCCGGCGGCCCTCCGCTGGCCCGCCCCACCCCTGGGTGCGCGGGAAAATATAGAGAAACTCGATCGAACACGACCAGATCTCAGGGCACACCCAGGCTTCCTGGGGCCCAGGCCGTGGACACAGCAGCACGACGGCCGAAGGAGGAGGGAGGAGGGAGGAGGGGGGGGAGGAGGAGGAGGAGGAGGAGGAGGAGGAGGAGGAGGAGGAGGAGGAGGAGGAGGAGGAGGAGGAGGAGGAGGAAAAAGGAGGAGGAGGAAAAAGGAGGAGGAGGGAGAGGAGGGATGTTTGGTAGCCCCCTGGCCCTCACCCTCCAGCGGTGGCCGCCTGGGGTGGCCCTAGTGGCCCTCTCCTCTGGCTGCCTTCTGCGCCGCTGGCCCCTCCAGAGCCAAAGGCAGAGGGCGAACGACTACGCAAATGTTGACTACCTACCAGACCACCCCAACCCAACCCGAAGACCCGAATTTCTGGTTGGGGGGGGTAAGGGTTCCACATGTGTTTTTTCGATGTTTCCCGACCCCCCCACACTGGAAATCGAGGGTAAATCTGAGCCTTCCAGTTGGGTTGGGGTGGTTTGGTGGGTGGTGAAATGTAGGATCAACATTTGATGCCCTCGCGCTCCTCATACAGGAGGTCCACGTCGATCCCATCCTGACGCGCAAGGGGGCACCATGGGGATAACGCAATTGCGGCATTGGTGGGTGAGGAGGGGGAGGCAGAAGGGAGAGGGATGGTGTGGAAAGACACATGGTGGAGAGGAGATGGTGACGAAGATGGCGATCATGGCGGCACCAGTGGTGGAGAGGAAAATGGCCTGACGCGGCCCGTGCGCTACGGGTAGGAGGGGGGGATGAAGAAGGCAGGATGGCTCCCCAGAGGCCCTCGCGCCTTCTGAAGCCTCCTCGGAGGCCTCCGACCCCTTCTGGGCAGACACTGGGGGAAACCAAAAGATACCAATACCAAGGCGGATCCGGCGGTGGCGACGACGGCCTCCCAGGAGGCCCGAAAAGATGAAAACGAGGCAACGGTAGCGGTACGGGTTCCGTTTCCTCCTTTGGGACACCTGCCCTCTCCACTGGAGGCCTCCTGGATGGGGTCCGAGTAGATGGGGTCGGAGGATCGCGCCGCGTCGCCGATGCATCGCCAATGTATCGGCGATGCATCGACGATACATCGCCGACGCATCGGCGACGTCGGCGATGCATCGGGCGACGTCGGCGTGGGAAAAACACGGTCTCCCCATCGAGCCGCATCGTCGATGCATCGGCGGTGCGGCGCGATCCTCCGACCCCATCTACTCGGAGCCCACCTAGGAGGCCTACAGTGTGGGCGCGGCCGCAAGAAACCCTCGCAAGAAACCAAGCCCTGAAACCCGCAGGAGCAATCTGCATGTTGGGGTGAGCTCAGAGCATACTGAACGCAGCAGCGCCTTCAACGGCCACAGGAACCCACCGCGCAGCGCGCGGAGCGAAGAAACCCGGGGTACCCTGACGAAAAGCATTCCAACATCCCCTTTCTTGCTGACTACCATGGATGTCCATAATCAAGGTACCAGAAATGGTGTTTTCGAACGATTCAGGATTGTGCTGGTGCAACAGTTACGTGGACTTGCGGTGCTGGAATCCCAACAACGGCTTGTTGGTACTATTCGGTATCGTCAAGACGCAACAGTCAGGTTGATCCGTGGCGTTGGAATCCTGAGAACAATGTTTGGGCACGCTTCAGGGTCTCCAACGGGTTTCTTCCAACCAGGCAGCTCTCTCAATGGAAATGAACTGCTCTGGGGGTCTATGAAAAAGGGAGCTTGGAGGGAGGTTTTAGTCCAACATCACTGGCGACTCTTGGGTTTACGCTGGTCCTCTTCCTCCTCCTCCTCCTCATTGTCATTTTCCCTCCATTCCTCTTCCTGCTCCTCCTCCTCATCCTCATCCTCCTGCTCCTCCTCCTCCTCCTCGTCCTCCTCCCCCTCCTCTTTTTCGTTTTCTTCCTCCTCCTCCTCCTCCTCTTCCTCCTCCTCTTCCTCCTCTTTCTCGTCCTCCTCCTCCTCCTCTTCTTCCTCCTCCTGATCCTCCTCCTCCTCCTCCTCCTCCTCCTCCTCCTCCTCCTCCTCCTCCTCCCCTCCTCTCCTCCTCCTCCTCCAATTCCTCCTCCTGCTTCGCGTCCTCGTCGTCCTCCTCCTCCTCCGCTTTCGTCTCCTCGTCGTCGTCCTCGTCCTCGTCGTCTTCGTCGTCCTCGTCGTCCTCGTCGTCGTCGTCCTTGTGTTCTTCCTTCCTCTCCTCCTCGTCCTCCTCGTCGTCCTCCTCCATGTCATCCTCCTCCTCCTCCTGTTCCTCTGCCTCCTCTTCCTCCTTGCCCGTTTCCTCCTCATCCTCCTCCTCCTCCTCCTCCTCATCCTCCTCCTTCTCATATTCCCCTCCTCTCTTTACCCCTCCCCTTCCTCCTCCTCATCCTCCTCCTCATCCTCCTCCTCGTCCTCCTCCTCGTCTTCCTCCTCCTCCTCCTCCTCATCCTCATCCTCCTCCTCGTCCTCCTCCTCCTCGTCCTCCTCCTCACCCCCCTCCTCATCACCATCCTTCTCAAACGTCTTTCTCGCTCAGTCTCTCCCTTATCCTCCTCCTCCTCCTTTTCCTCCTCCTCCTCCTCCTCCTCCTCCTCCGTCGCCATGCTGGCTCAAGGCCTAAGGTCCCTCGGGGCCAGAGCGGGGACCTCTGGTCCAAGGGCAGTTTTCACCGCCACGCAGTTCCAGTGACGCGCACCCCTCTGGAGTGAAGAGAGTTGCTAAGCCCTCGCAGAGCCACAGGTCTGTGCGCAGTTCGGCACCAGAGCCTGGAGTTGGTTTCCAGGGCTGACGCGATGACGAAAGACGGCGCAGGGACAAGCCTGCATGGACCGAAGCGTCCACGCTGGGGAGTCTCTCGATGTGAACCGGCGAACATCTGAGCGCGCGGGATACAATGCTTATCTGGCGCGAGGGTGCTGCAGGCAGCACATTGCCAACAAGGCGCGCCAGGATGACAAGCAGACACCCGCTGCCGCGGCAGAGAAGGACAAGCCACCTCCACGAGGCGGAAAACTCCACTCGTCACAGATGGCGCCGTGGGCTAAACCGCACATGGAGTTGGAGCAGGAGTTGGTGGCGCTGCGCAAGAAAGTCCGGCAGCCCAAGTCCGTCAAGCCTGATTCGACGAAGGCTCCCTGTTGTCATTCCGTCTGCAGACGAAGCACCTTCCACCGCGGCCGATGATCGATGGAGGTCGATGCGGGTGAAGGCGGAGAGCATGCTGGAAGAGCAGGTATCAGTGCCAAACGCGCCGCAGCTCATGCGACGATCGCCCACTATGAGATGTTCGTCAAGGGCCTGGGATTGCATGAGGCCGCAGAGTCTGAACAGCTCACGGCGGCTAAGAAGCAGTTGGGGGGCGGTCCGAGTTCAACTACGCAAGCAACGTCCGCCGTCGACGGCACGCGAGATCTCTGCGAATAAGCTCGAGCGCCGTCGTACCCAGCTGGATCGCCACCGTGAAAAAAACAAAAACCGTCGGTCGTCGAAAGAAGATTCAGAAGTTGCAAGAGGAGCGGGACACCCAAGAGGCTGCCATCGTTCCGACGGAGTCCGAGGTCGCCGCGCTCACAGTCGAGGCGCGCACATGTGCGAAGGCGCTGCAGAAGCAACGAGGTGAGGCCTTTGGCGGGCCCCCTGAAGTCGCTGCCCCTGCCACTGCGTTTCCGCCTAACTTCCTGAAGGTCTTGGCCTCGGCCGCAGACTTGAGCCCAAGCATCTCGACCTGCAGGAAGTTAGGCGGAAACGCAGTGGCAGGGGCAGCGACTTCAGGGGCCCCGCCAACGGCCTCACCTCGTTGCTTCTGCAGCGCCTTCGAGAGGCCCAAGCGCCAACCTGAGGCTGAGCTCGGCGTGGACGACATCCGAAAGACACACGAAGAGTTAACAAAAACCGGGCCTTTTCAAGGCGAGTCCGAGGAAGAGGTCGCCACGAAACTGCACGGGATGGCACGAGGAAAAGCGCGCCAAGACGGCCGCCCTGGGCAGCCTGCCGCGGGGCGTCGAGCACCGACAGCTCCGCGCGGGCGGGCTGCGACTGCGACGGGGAGAGCTGCCGCCCGTCAATGCGCCAGACAGCTCACTGCAGACGCACTGGCTCGAGACTGTCGGCGCCAGTCGAGGGGGGCCTACCTTGAAGCGACGGCTTGAGAGGACGTTGGCAATGATGGTGCTGGCACAGAAAACTGGATATCATGAGCACGAGGTTGAAGGGCTTCTATCGTGGGCAGGAGCTCGAGGCTGGCACGTTGCTGCAATCCCTGGCAGCCCGACAGACGGGCACCTTGCGTCTACTGCCGGCGCGATGTTCGCGCGCAGCGCAGTGAGCTTGCGACGGCCCTCAGGGCGAAGCTCATCTATGTTGTCACCTCATAGGGCACAGCATGTCGCTGGTGCCCCACCAGGCTAAGAGTCGCTGCGCGTGTTCAACATCTACTTGGAAACGTCTGAAGGCATGATCGTGCGCATCACGGAGATGTTGCGCGCAGTCGGCGAGGAAATGTCGGGCCTCCTCGAGCCTTGTATCATCGGCGGCTGGGACATGGCCCCCAGCGAGATCGAGGAGTCCACGTTCCCAACGAAAGCCCAGGTCAGCCTCGTCGCGCCCGCGGCAGTCACATGCCGAACGGCGCGATCATGCTCGACCAGCGCCTTCTTTGGCCTCAGTTCACCAGCGACGCAGTCGCTCAAGCACGTCGAGGCAGACTAGACGGGGACGGTGAAGCCGCACAGGCCTGCGCAGTTGCCCATGACAGCCGATGGGCAGTCGCTGCAGTACCTGGGCTACCGTTTAGCGCCCAAGATTCCTGGAGTTCAGGCCCATGGGCCTCGCGCTGCTGACGAGCACTGGGGCGTCGAGGCTGCTGATGCTGAACGCGCTGTGCACTTGACCAGACACGAGCGAGCTGACGGCGGCTTTCTGTCGACAGCTCAGGCCATGTTCGAGGCCAAAGCAGCGCGCAGGCTCTCGCGCGCCACAGCTACAGAGGTGAAGGATCTCGACTCGCTAACGAGGTGCCCTAGTGCGGAGTGGGCTGAGGCCCAGTGCGAGGCGAAGGACCTAGAAGGGCGTCCAAGCTCGAACTGAATACTGGCGCTGGCTTCGCAATGCGCTCGCCTACATAATCCAGCTCGGCAAGAGCAACCAAACAACGTCGGCCAAAGGCCGACCCACAGGCTCGACTCCACAGTTAAGCTAGCTCGACGGCCGGCCGCGCGCGTTCCGCTGCGAGTTGAGAACTGCCGCGAGCTACTCGCCGACGTCGATGACCTCCTGGAAGTGAACCACGTGGCTGGGCGCGATAGCCGCGCCCGTTGGAAGGCCTGGCGCGAACAGGCCAGCGCGGCGCAGGAGGCGCCTGCGGCCGTCGCAGGCTCACCAAGCAGAAGGATGTCCAGCAGCCGATGGTCGTCCAAGGCACCCGGGGCGACACCGCTCACCATCGCCACGTCTCTCGAGACGCGGGGCCGCCCTACATGGACGCGCGGAGGCGCGCGCTGCAGGCTCCGGGGGAACGCGCTCCTGATCGCGAGTCGCTGCCGAGGGCCACCGCCGAGGAGACTCGGACTGCTGCGAGATACTTCCCAGCAAC